TGTTTTTCAATCGCCTCAATTTTAACGTGCAGGGTCCTCACAACTTACTGAACGCGTACGCGTATACGCGCCAATAGCGGTACCGTGCTATATTAGGCAACGTCGCGCGAGATCACGTGCTCTTGTATACAATTTACCAAGAAAAAAGAATGGGCAAGATATTTTATATCGGTAAATGTGCTATAATCAAAATATAAACCCGAGTAAGTCGTGCTTTGGGGCGCGTCTCGCAACAGTTATTGTCATCTCGTGAGCAACAGTTGTACAATAACAATAGGAGGGTTTGGTTCATTTCGAATTTATTGGCTCGTTCGTGCAGTCGTACACATCATATCACTGTAGCGCTAAACCATAAACAGGTGTGTACTATTCTTTTTACTATATATTTGCATTCTCATTTGTATCCTTCTCGAATCTCTACAATAGAGATGATAGGCTTTCAAATTTTTTTTTTTTCATTTTTTTTTTTAGGACGTGCGATATTAAGTACCGTAAGTACATTAACTCAAACACCTCCTGTTACAATTATTTTGCTGCTTGCTACAAAAGGAAAACTTGCGCGGCTCTCATGTCAGGGGTACTTGAGTGAGTGACATGCAGGCTCTGCATGCACAGCAAGCCACCAATCACAATCATTCTTGATCAGATCACAGCAGGCCCCGCCCCGCTAGTTTGCAGACCATCAAAACAACGGTAAAAGATGAGCGAGGCACAGGAGGACAATACCGGAGAGAATGAAGATTTACTTCCAAAAAGAAAAGCAACATCTGCCATCTGGAACTATTTTGGATACAAAAAGGTTCTTCTCTTCTTCATTCACAGATGAGCCCCCTTATTTGAGGGGAAGCAACATGCATTATCATGACATGTTAGATCATGACTTAAGGTATGATGAGTCAACCAGTTAAGATCCAGACGTCCGTGACTAAAATCCTTCATCCGGTTAAATATAGTTAAAAAAAACGCAATATATATCGAAGGGGAAAAGAATATCGCAATGTCAGTTTTTTTCAATATCGTGCAGCCCTGCTGAGCATTGTTTTTTGTAAATGAAATTTTAAAAAGCCAGTTAAAGGGCATCAGAAAGAGCAACACAGATACAAAAAGGAAAAAGTTACTAGGTGTACAAGCATGTGTTTGTAAAGGAATCATGATACAAAGATGCGTGATTAGCTTTGGAAATGCATAAAGCAGAAATCAAACATTAAATAAAATCCCACACATTGATGAAGCTTTAGGCTCTAAGTCTCATGACCTTATTATTTACGTTGTGAATGCTCAGCTTTATTGGTGTGTCCTCCTCCAGTTTCAGGAAGGTGCCTCCCGCTCCTGAGAGCCTCCTCTCCCTCTCCTCCTCCGGTACCTCCCCCGTCTCTTCACAGCCGTCTCCCTCCTCCGTCCCTCTTCCTCCCCTCTCCCACATCCCTCCGTCTGCGTCCACAGTCGGAGCGCTCAACCTCCGAGTCGCTCCCGTCAGAGCCCGTAACGGCACGCATAAAGCCCCCCCCCGCTCATCCAAAGACACGGAGGACTCTGGAGCTAAGAGGAGGAAAAACGCCTCCTCCTTTTTCCCCACTGTGGATAATCTGAGGAGGAACGGCAGCAGCCATCATCCAACGTTACAAAGTTCAGGGGCGTCTGCAGCTGGGAGGAAGAAGGGACTCGGTCGGGGGGGGATGTGGAGCGGAGGGGAGGACTGGCTCTCCAGAGACGACGGGTCGGAAAGCTACAACTCACACAGCAGGTGGGTGCAACACTTGGCATAAGACATAAGATATCAGTCAAGTCAAATTCAACTTTATTCTCAATCTTTCAGTTTGTGTTTACAGACAGAGAGATCGAAATACAGTCAAAAATACAAATATATATATAAAAATATGTCAGTCACGAGACACATTTATACATGTGCACACATTAAGACATAAATAAAAGCACAACAATCAATATATACAAAATAACAGTCACTTCAAAATCTGTGAAAATGTACATTAGTGGAAGAATGTATTATATACTTTATTGATCCCAATTTGGGACATTGTTACGTCCCATCAGCCGAAATAAGACATTACAGGCAAATACAATTGAATACAAATACAACAGTAAACATAAATATATATGCAAAATATTCAATATATACAGTACATGAAGGATACATATCTATAGAGTTTAATATCAAATGAAAAATATAAATATATAGAGAGGTGAAGTTACGCCCGTCTACTTCCGCCCCATGGGACCTTATTTCGGAAAAATGATGTATTGAAGTCAATGGGGAGAGAAAACGTATCTTTGGATCCCGTTTCAATTGTACCACGAATTACACATATGATGTTTGTCAATTTAAAAGATAATTTCCATGTCAAAAAAGTCACAGTTTGTCGTAAAACTGTAGAAATATAAGACTATGAAAAATAACAACTAGAAAGACTACAAATCCCAGAATCCCGGTCCCGCATGCTGGCTCTTAGGGAACCGACCAACTCCCCTTGTGTGTGTGTACAGCTCTCAACGTGCCCAGACTTGGAGTGATTTTCACCTCTTTTAATACTTTCCGCCTCTTTCTGAAAGAAAGAAGTGAAATGTGCCAACGTGACGGCCGTCTTGGTGTGTGGTGCGAGACGGGAGATGTAGTTCATTGAGCGGTTTCACACAAAAAAAAGTGTAACTTCACATTTTTACAACACATTTGGATTTTTTTGACTTGCAAAATTATCTTTTCAATTGACAAACATCATATGTGTAATTCGTGGCACAATTCAAAAGGGATCGAAAGATAAAGTTTCTCTCTCCATTGACTTCAATACATACTTTTTCCGAAATAAGATCCCATGGAGGTCCCCCGGAAAGGGAGGGACTTCGCCTCTCTATACACAATAGAAGGCATTTTCCATTATGCTTGACCTGCCTATCAAACTCCCAAAGTGAAAACAATTTACATTTCAGTTAGCAGAGAATTACGGGTTTAAGTTACATTTAAATCCTCAAGGGACCACATGAAGACAATATATACAAATAAGTGAATTATATATAATTACATAATCCAACCGTATGTATGGAAGCCCATGAGGGTGTTTTATTCAAAGGAAAGCTCTGTGTAAACACGTGTCAGCTGTGTGTCGACAGGTGTTTAGTTTTCATATTAAAATATCTATATATGATATAAAACGTGCTGTGATGGTTTTACAGCAGATTTGATTAATGGCAGTTTCCCCACTGGTCTTTTTTTTTTCACTGGTCTCCAGTGGTGAACTAGGCAGTGTACCCGACTCCCCCAGCAGGGAGTCACCCTCCGCCCCCCCTCACCCTCCTGCTCCCCCCTCCGGACCCTTGCCTTATGTCGGGGGAGCAGAGGGCAGGAAGAGGAGGAGTCCCAGCTCCTTCAAAGCAAAGGCCAGCAAGCTGAGCAGACCGGGGGGGATGGAGAGCCTCTTTGGGAGCGACAGCGTGGGAATTCTGGCCTCAGGGCCCGAGTCCCCGAGACAGGTAGGGGGCGGACATCTATATTTGACACCATTAAGAGAGGAAGGTGGTGTGAGCGGCTCTGAATTGTATTGGAGAGTCTATATTTACAGCACCGTTACATAGACGATACAGATGTTGATCTACAATAAACAGAACAAAGAAATTAACAGCTGCAAACATAGAATCTTAGCGTTTGTTAAACTGTCCGCAGTCTAGGAAAAAAAGTATATAAAAAATGTCAATTCTGAAAGCAAAAGAGCACATTTAGTCACAATCAGGGATGTATTTTTCTCTCTCCCTCTCTCTCTCTGTTTTTTTTGATGACTCTTTTTGGAAGTCATGGGACCATTAGACAAGTTAACATGTGACCCCAAACTATTGTATTTGTTGTATGTATGATGGTATTTAAAAAATGGGCTGTTCTGATTTGTATTGGAGACAATGGAGAGTCTATATTTACAGCACCGTTACATAGACGATACAGATATTGATCTACAACAGGGGTCGGCTTTTTAATATGAAGTGCCATTTTAAAAATAATTGGGGGGGGCGGGCGCGCTCGTGAACTGTCAACAGGAGGGCGGGGAAGCAGTGTGTGCACCCCTGTCAGATACCGTTTAAACAAATTTAAATAATTGGTTTAAACGGTATAATAATAATGACGATCGTCCGTTCTGTGATTCCCCAGAACACACAGGTGGCCAGTCCGCCCTTGTGTAGCATATTATTTCCGATGAGAGATGAGCAGATCGCCACTGGGCTTTCAACTAAAGACACAGCCACGCAAAAACTGCGGCATTTGGACTGCAATTTGTGAAGTGCGGGCGCGCTCCGGCAGCACTTAACCCCTGATCGCTTCACCACGGAGGAAAGCAGCAACAAGTCGACTGGAGTTAAAGAGAGCGGGGCTAATATATATATATATTATACAAAAATGCACAGGTCCGTTAAGAAAGCCAGTTTAAAGGCTAGTAAAATGTGTTTTTTAAAGTTCTAAGTGTATTTTCACATTAAATCCACCTTTGAACAACAAAGCTGCAGGTCCCCCTTGAAAAACAGATCTATGATCTCAATGGGACCAATCTGGTTAAATAAAGGTTTGAAATGAAATGAAAGCTAATTCGTCAAAATATATCAAAAATATTTTGAGTTTTTTTTTTTTTCTAACTGACTTATGAGTTCATGGGACCATTAGACAAATTAACACGTGATCCCAAACAATTGTATTTGTGGTATACATGATAATAAATATTAAAAAAAAGATGGGCAGCCCTAATATCAATAGTTGCATAATGCACAGTTCTGTTAAGAGAGCCAGTTTGAAGGCAAGTCAAATGTGTTTTTTAAGTTTTATGTGTAGTTTCAAAGGTGTGAGAAGTTGCTTTACACGCATTAAAGCCACCTTTGAACAATAACAAATGGGTCTCTGTCCCCTCCCCGCAGGCCAACATGCATCACTGACAGAAACCTGCTCCCCGGACTGAACGTTGGGCAGCTGTGCAGACCACCACCGTTTGTGACCTTTGACCTCACCACTCTTCCCCTGACGGCACCAATCAGACCGGTGATGTCACCCCCATTCATCCAATCACAGCTCAGTTCACTCACCGGGACGCAGCAGTGTTTGCCGGCCGTTCACTTTCACCTATCCACCTTTTTTTAAAAACATGGATCACTCTGACATGCATTCAGAAAAATACAGTGGAATCCAAAAATGGAAAGGGAATTTTCAGACAGAATTTACACACTGTACACGTTCTGGGGAGACTTTTTTTTCTTACTCAGCTGACAAGGTAAGTGATTGTTTTTCGGGTTAAAGCTGAAGGACCTACTGACACGATTACTGTAGGCCTCAGCGGTCATCTATGCCACCTTAACGCTTTTATTTCCGCCACTCGATACATCGAACATCTCTGTCAACATCCCTGAAATTCTCTCTCTTTCCTCACCCCCCTATCTCCCCCATTCCTCCCAGCATTGCTGTGCTCAAAGTGCTCTTACTGCCCCTCTCTCCCTTCCTCCATTATCTCCACCACGGACCTGAACACAAGGGAAGGAAGCGACACTGTATTTCAATATAGGAAGAGATCTAGGATGAGATCCGATTGATTTCGTCTTCGTTCTCGTTTTGCAAGAAACACAAACTCCTGTCTGTGTGTCAGGACTTGCATCCAAAAAAAGGAATGAAGCCTACGGTGTTGGAATCTATTTTTTTTTTGTACAATAATTTATCGTTCTTAAGTTATGTTTGTTTTCTAACTCGCCCTCGAGGTGCCGAGCTACGGGAAAAACAAAGAATAATTTCTATGGCATTTTGAAGAAATGTTGAAAGTATTATGATAGTTCATATTGTGGAAAATGTGTACATATCTGTTTATTATTTTTATATTTATTAATTATCGTCCCCTTTTACAGAATATGAGCCATACAAATGTAACCGGCTGTGTCTGACTCTGCGTTGTGTTGTGTAGAAAGACGACGACCCAGACGTGTAGCTTCATTCAGGATGTACATTTATTTTCACTCCTGACGAAACAGCGACAGAAAGAAAACATTTCTCCAGTCAGTACTCTCTTTAACGTGCCCCTGTGAGCGGGCAGTTGAAGCCTCCTGCACGTCCACAGACACATCCCAGGAGACTCCGGACATGTTTTAGATTCACCTTTTTAAGGTTTTAAATGAAAACTGTGTTTACAGCTGAACACCCACCGACCATTACTCCAAGGCTGCGTTCAGGAGAGTCGGACATCTCGGTCGACACTAAAACACGGAAATTGCTTCTGGCTGAAGAGCCGCCTACCTCTCCCACAGAGATCAGTATCAAAAGGGGAGAACGATGCATGAACCCCGCGAAAAAAAGGGGAACAGTGTCACATACATAAGGAACGTAGGGGTACACGCTAAAATTATAGTTCCACATACTGATGTGAGTCCTACTGCGTCAGGTATTAACACAAGATGAAACAAGAATAAACACAGATTTTGTGTAATTATATAGACATATTTGCATAATATATTATATACAAATAAGACATAACTGTCCCTGTTACACAAAGAGTATGTTTTCCTCCAACTACATATGTGTTTAATGATATTGATAATGATCAGCCTGGTTTCTCAAAATATTGAAGAGTTTGTTAATTAGCACGTTTTTTAAATGAATATGAATTAATAATCAAACGGCTAAATATGGACTTTAACTGTGTGGGCTGTGTCTGTCCTTCCAAATGTAAGTATTTTTATTCAGTATGTTCTAATAACTGAGGCTTTTTCACAATAATAGGCGAAAATATTAGACAAAAAATGTATCAATTCAAACAAATTTGACTTGGGAGAGTCTACTGTAAAAAGTCCACTGTTTTTGATACAGTAATTCACAGATGTCAGCCATACTGCAACTTTGCAAAGTCTGATTGACAATTTAATTTAATTTTCCTATTTTATAAGGAGTTGTTTTGCCATGCCTGCACATTTTTCACTTTTTGTTTTAATTAGCATTTAACAGCCCCTCCATTTACCCAAAGATCCATCAACAGCCCGCTCCACAAAGTACGCCTGCCAAGGTGGTCACTTCAGTAGTGTTAACACATTCAAACCTGCATAAAAGAAGTATGCAATCTTAATATTGGACAGCCACAGCCTCTATCAGGAGATGACGTTTACTCGGTTGCTCTTTTTATTTCCATAAATCTGTATCTGACACATGCTAATGAGCAAATGTTGATTTTGTGACACCAGGCTTTGGTTAGTATTTTCATATAAAGGACCCAGCATTCATGTTAGCCTGTGGTTCCACCCTTTCTCATAAATCTTCCAATGTTCAAAACAATAGTTATTACACTTTGAAACCATCTTAATCTTCCAGGATCGATTGGTTCAGGTCAAAATGCTTTCAGTTACCTTTCAGAAAGGCTTCCTTACATGTATTTTAAACAAACACACATTCAGCATTAGGTGTACGAAACATTTTCCAAAGGAGCTCACTACCACAACTTTAAGTCCAAAGATGCTAACATATGATTATATTAAGAGGTTTTCACTTTAAGTAGGTGTATAGCCAGGGGTGCACATAACTTTCACAGTGAGCCACTCAGATGAGTACCTGGAGTCAGTGTTTGGTACTCCAACTTCTGGCTCCACTCAAAGTTATTTGATGAAGCCCTCTGTATCGCGAACGTCAACGGGGGGCGGGGTGTGCGTGCTAGTGGAGTACTTCAGGAAAGTCGACGGGGGGGACTAGTGGAGTACTCTGTGATAAGCTGTTTTAGCGCAGTTCTCCAGTGAAGGGGGAGGAGTCTCGCTCCGCAGCCGGTTGGCGTAGTTTTGGCACAATTCCGTTGTACAGACCGGCGTTAACAGCAGTCCTGTCTGTGCACACGGAGACCGACTCTGTCGTCCGGTGATCTAACCGCCTTCTGGAAAAGCTTCACAAGTACGTCGGTTCGCAAATGCGCTTTGTGACACAAGTGACGGTACGCATTTCAGATTGTTGCCGCGCATGCGTACCAGTTATGTGCACCCGTGTGTATAGCTATAGAGAAATCCCTGAAACATGAGGGTTTCTCTTTTCTTGGTATGATGGAAGCCACAATGTGTCTAAAAATGTATCCTGTCTTCATCTTGTATAGCTGATAATGGTGGCGTAACTGAGAGCATTTTGATTTCATTCATGGCGATTGTTCTAATCTACACACACATGGTTTATCGAGGAGCTCGCAATGTACAGTTAATTTGTGAAAGGGAGAGTTCTGATGATTTGAAGTGGGGTTGTATGAGGTTTTTATCCAAAGTGAGTGTTTGTAGAAGAGGACAGAAGAAGAATCAAGAGAAAAACAATGTTCTGCCATGGAAAGAATGGCAGCATATGTAAGCCATCCAAAAGATAGTCCCACTAAAAAAAGTATATTTTAATTTAAGTGTATGACCAATTGTGGATCTTTTCATTACTTCCCCTTGCTGTGAGACAGACTTTTCCTGCGGGGGGCTGAAGGTGTTATCTCTCTGTGTTTTAAAGGGTGACTCCGTATCACCCGAGTCACTCAATTACACGTACGAAATCAAGGAAGTGGTAAAAAATGTGTCCATGTAGCCTGGTGTCTTTGCAGAGAGCGTAGATTACGACTCGAGTTCCCCTTAAGAAAGGTCTGAATAATATATAGAGAACACTTCAACTATATGGATTTTTTTTTTTTTACGTTGACTCTCCCTAAAGCTGGCTTAAATATGTCCTTCTACTGCCATGGCAACACCTCATATAAAACCACTTCAAAATATCCGAACTATCCCTTTAACATGCCTACAATTACAATAATCATTTTCTCTGATATACATACCAACATATGTACTAGTATAACGTTTGTTTGTTTGTTTAAAGGATAAAACCATGGTTAAGTGTGGAATTTAGTGAGTTTTTTTTATGGATCAAAGCTGACCTACTGTTTATAGTAATACAAATAGGAAGTTCCAGTCACTGTTGCAGCTAAAATTAAGACAGAGTTTTCAGTAGATTTCAGAGCAGTTGTATATTTTGAACTTTATGGAGGTATAACAGTTTCTTTTAAAGCCTCCCCCTTCCTTTTTTTGCACTTTGTCATAACGCCCAGATTTAATCAACGTCTATTTATATACATGTTTGAGATATTGAAAACAAATCTATATATATATTTGTAAAAGTGTTTTTTCTGGCAACTGCAGTGAAAGAAGATAGAGTGTTTTGTGGGTGAGTTAACCAGCACACCATTGTTTGTTGTGTCTGATCCAAACATGCCTTGTTAGAGTTATTCACTCTGACTGCAGTTGGATACCAAAAAAAAGAATTTCCCACCATACAACAACACTTGCTGTATACAAAATGTTCTTATATCCAAGCTTTTATTAAATGATTGAAAGTGGATGTTGTTTTTTGTAATCCAAGCTTTTGAACTGGAAGGAAAGTCCCACTAGAGGGGATTTCCTCAAAGTTGGTCCACTTTGACTCAAGTATGAATTAGTTGGATTGTGTTGGTTGAAGGTCAAACTTACTGGGATGTCACTAACACATTTAAGGCCAAAACTCAGCAACGTATACGCTAGTTAAAAGAATTTCCCACATGCTTTCCATCGGAGAACATTAGGAAATCGTGATATTTTAGATAGATATGGATGTTGACATCGGAGGGATACAATGTGTTTTCTCTGTAAGGAACTCATGATCAGTGATGTATCACATGACATGTTTGTGTTGTTGGACTAGAGCAAAAAAAGTATTCTGTGTTCGTCAGAGCAGCTTCAATTGTGTGTATTTTGGGTTTAAAAATGTTTCCAGATGCAGAAACACTGAAGAATGCTGAGCCCTGTCTGCTTATCCGACAACAGGTTTTGTCATTATTCCACATTTTCTGCCACCATTTGTTCCCCAGCATCGTGGATCAGCTCTGAAACATCTCAACATCTATTGGCTGAAGAAGATGTCATTTCCTTTGGTACAGGGATCCGTGATGTTTCATGTAGCACCATCCCTGTTTTCAAAATGTCTATTTATTTTTGCATTCCCATCAACCTGCCATGAACTTTGCAGGCGCACTGAATAAGATAATGAACAAATTGTAAAAAAATATACCTGCCAAACATTAGTATGAGACTAAATCGATTAGTGTATAAATCATCAACTAACCAAAAGAAAACGTATCTGGTGAAGTGTAATACTTTTTATATGAAACTAAATATATTTGGGTCTTATACTAACAAAACAAAGCATTAAGAGACATGGTATAAAAAATGGACATATTTCACTATTTTCTTGACCAATTCATCTAGAAACTAATCAACTGATTAATGCAATACAACAAACCCTTATCCTTACCATAAGGACCTTTTTAAAGCTTTCCATTGTTCCTAACCAGTGTTGGACACACCACACAGTAAACTAAGATATAACTAAAACAATATGGAGTGTACTAACCAGAACATGTTTTGATGAATAGGGAAGGAGATATCCTACTGATGCTGTAACTAGAAAACTCCCCATGTTGACAAGGAAATGAAACAAACAAAACAAATACCCATTTTGTGCACCACATAATTAAGTGCAAATTAGGGCTGCACGATATCGGGAAAAAACTGACATTGCGATTTTTTCCCCTCCCTGCGATATATATTGCGATATGAAAACATACAGGAATTGAAGAAAAGACTGTTTTTTTTCCCGCAAACCATCCTTTCTTGAACTTTAATGCTAAACAATTGGTATTTTTTAACTATATTTAACCGGATGAAGGATTTTAGTAACGGACGTCTGGATCTTAAGTTATCAGAGCAACAAGCTGAGCTAGCTCNGTTAGCAGCGCCGAACTGCCCTGGAGAAACACATGAAATGACTTTATTCAATGTTTTTACCTTTGATCACCGGGTCCGTTTGCTTTGGAGATTTGATTGTGATTGGTGGTTTGCTGTGCATGCAGAGCCTGCATGTCACTCACTCAAGTACCCCTGACAAGAGGCTCGCAAGTTATCCTTTTGTAGCAGGCAGAACAATAATTGTAACATGAAGTGTTTGAGTTAATTTGCCTACTTAATATCGCAAGTCCTAAAAAAAAATTTAAAAGGAACAATTTAAAACATTGCACGTCCTGCGATGTGAATATCGCGCATGCGCATATCGCGATTATCGTCACGACACGATATACGGTGCAGCCCTAGTGCAAATAAATGTTTCTTTGAGGGGTCCCTCTTGGTACTGTA